TTCAAGTGCGAGATATTCTGGATTCCCGTAGACATCATGGTTCCATTCAGTATTTAGTTGCTTGGAAGCACCTTCCATCTTCCCATAACGAATGGGTATATAAAAAACATATTAGGATTCCTAGATTACTTAAACGTTTTCATTCTAAGTATCTTGATAAGCCTGATTGATATAGCTTTCTCTGTTTTGTTTTCTCCCTTTCCTTTCTTTGTTTTACAGGTGGATCTGTCATTTTCCTAGGGGGGCTGTATGTCAGGTTCCCAAAGAAATGTCTTACTATTCTTTTAACCTATATATGCTTCTGTAACCACTTTTTTGGAGCCTGCCATTCTGTTGGGAGGGGAGATTCTGATGTGGGGATATACAATATGTTTTGCTCAGTCTGTGCCATACTGCCCTTCCCCCAGGGGAAGGAATGTGCCCGAATACCATCACCTTTATCTGGAAGATGGTTTGCGCTTGGAGCCGGAGGGAAACAAAACCAAGAGAGACCTTGAAGAGCACACCGAAAAAGTCAGTTACCAAAACAATATATCACCTGTGGATGGACAGTGAGATCCTGGGGGGAGGACTAACGAATACTGCTTTTGATATATTGCTTGCATGGGTTTTTCCCTCAGACCTCGCTTTCATTCCTTGCCATCACTAACTCCTAATAAAAGTTTCTTTTGAGACAATGTCTGTTTCAAGAGTTCTGCTTTCTTGGGAGACTTAGTTGAGGCAGATCCTTATACAGGAATACTTTATTGGCCAAGTGTAATTGGCCACACAAGGAATTTGTCTCTGGTGCATAAGCTTTCAGTGTACATACAAACAACAAGGTAATATAATCATAAGATACCAATAGAAGGTAGTAGAAAAGATGAGAAGAAAAAGAATATGGCCATACATGGGTAAATATCCTTGGACATAAGACAGTACTATGGTAATTAGGTGTTCATCAGAGTCATGGAATGAGGGGAAAAACTGTCTTTGTATTGAGTTGCTTTGGCATGCAATGCTCTATAGTGGTGTCCTAAGGAGAGAAGTTGACACAGTTTATGGCCAGGATGTGAGGGGTCTGTAGATATTTTATCAGCCCTTTCTGACCTGTGCAGTAGACAGATCTTCAATGGAAAGTAGGCTGGTTGCATTTTTTTTTCTGAAGTCCTAACTATCCATTGAAGTCTGTACTTGTCCTCATTGGTTGCTGTACCAAACCAAAGAGTTATAAAAGTACAAATGACAGAGTCAATAATTTCTGTGTAGAACTGTATCAGCAGCTCCTTCAGCAGTCTGAGCTTTCTGAGTTAGCATAGGAAGAACATTCTTTGTTCTGCCCTTTTAATGATGGTTCTAATGTTAGGTATCCATTTCAAATCCTGGGAAATTATAGAACCCAGAAACGTGAAGGTCTCTCCTGTTGATACTGTGTTGTCTAATATTGTAAATAATTGGGCTCTTCCTAAAATCCACTTTCATTTCTACAGTTTTAAGTGTATTCAGCTTCAGATTGTTCTGGCTGCACCACAGGGCCAGTTGTTCAACCTCCCGTCTGTATACAGATTCATCACCATCTCAAATGAGACCAATAACCATTGTATCATCTGCAAACATCAAGGATCCTTTAAGATGCAGTCACTGGTATAGAGAGAAAAGAATAATGGACAGAGCATATCACCCTGGGGGATGCCTGTGCTAATTGAACAGGTATTCAATGTGATTTTACCTAGTTTCATTTCATCTGCTGCTTTCAATGTATCAAAAATCTTATAATCTACCTACAAGTGTGGACAGGCACAGCTACTCAATCAGTTTAGAGGGAAGAATTCCTGGGATGATGGTACTGAATGCCAAGCTGAAGTCTACAAAAAGGAACCTTGCATAGGTCATTGGGAATTTAAGATGTTGCAAGATGTAGTGCAATGCCATATTGACAGCATCATCTGCCGATCATTTGCATGGTAGGCTAACTGCAAAGGTCTAGAGTGGATCTGTGATTTTCAGGTGGGCCACCACTAACCTTCCAGAGGTTTTCATAATTATAGAGCCAGAGCAACCAGTCTATAGTCATTCAGTTCCTTGATGGAGGGTTTCTTGGGAACCGGGATGATAGTAGAGTGTTTGAAGCAGGAAGGAACATAATACATCTTGTGGGTAAAGATGGAGGCCAGTTGATCAGCACAAAGCAGGAAGGAGTTACTCCATCTGGGCCTGGTGCTTTTCCTGTCTTTTGTCTATGAAATAAACCTTGCACCTCTTTTTCTAGGATCACCAGGGATGGGGAATCCAGAGGGATGGAGCCAGATGTGAGAGATTTTAGTCTATTTGGTATATTTTTGGTGATCCTTTTAGAGCTGAATGCAACAAAATTTCATTTTAATGTATGCCAGTTAGTGTACATTCAAAGTAACAATAAAGTTATTATTCTATTCTATTCTATTTATTCTAATCTGAGATAGTTGACAGTGATCTTCTCTTAAACCTACAGTAGAACACATTCAGGTCATCTGCCAGTTGGTGAATCCCTTCAGAAAGGGAGGAAGATCTGCTCTAGCCTTTGAGTTAAACCTTTGAGGTAGGTTAGTATAAAGAAGAAACTTAACCAAAATTCAGAAAGCAAAGGTTTGAGCAACCAGCTTTCATTAATATAGTTTTCAATAAGACCAGCTAAAATAAATTTAAGTGATCTTAAGATATTTAGATACTTGGGAAATTAGATACTTGGGAAATTATTTGGGTGAGAAATGTTAAATTAGATACTTGGGAAATTATTTGGGTGAGGAATGTTAAATTTACACAAGCCCAAAATTTAAGGGAAAATTTTTACAAAATGTTTTATAGATGGCACCTTGATCCACAAAAAATGTCTCGTATGTATCCTGACTTACAGCCTAAATGTTGGAGATGTGAATGTTTGGATGCTACTTATTATCATATTTGGTGGTCATGTAAAAATATAAAAGCTTTTTGGATTAAGATATGGTGGAATATTCAAAGAATTTTTAGAAGAAGGGTAAAATTTACTCCACAACTGTTTTTGTTAGGTATTGTTTCTGATTGTGATACTAAAGAGACTATATTGATGTTAAATTTAATCACAGCGGCAAGGTTGTTAGTAGGGCAATGTTGGAAGAAGGAATCTTTGCCTACCTTGCAAGAGTGGTTTTTTAAAGTTTCTTATTTGGCGGAAATGGCAAAGATTTCGGCTTTCTTGAAAGACCAATCGCAAGAGAAGTATTTTTTGGTATGGAAAAAATGGATAGACTTTATACAATATAAGTTGGATATAAAAAAATATTATTTAGCTTTTCAATAACTTATACTTAAAATTTAAGATATTTTATAGACTTTTTTCCTTTTTCTTTCTTCCTATTTTCTCGTATTTCCTTGTATTTTTGTTTCTTTTATACATATATTATTGTTAACTAGTTTACAATTTCTTTAATTAATGTATTTAGATTTGTTTATGGTTTATATTTGTTTTAAGACTTTTTGAAAAAATATTAATTAAGCCTGTATTCAGCTCTGGGAAGGTCGGGGGAGGGCATGAGAGGATTGGGGTGGTTTGGGGAAGGGAACCATATTGTTTTGCAAAATTTAAAAATTTTTAATAAAAAAAAAGATAAAGAACCTTAATTGTACTACAGAATGAATATTTTTGATCTACATGTAAACCTTGTCTTATTACTAATCACTTAGCAATCATTCAAAGTTACAACAAACTCCCCAAAAGGTACTTATAACCCAGATTTGAAGTTGACGCCCATTCCCCATACAGACATGTGATTGTATTTTGGGCACTTACCAATCGGCCCACATTTGCTGCCATGTGCAGTGCCCTGAATTCACAGGACTGCAGTTCATGGAGTTTTTTGGCAGAAACCAGTGCTAACTTCCAGTTTCTGGCAAAAAATGCCTATTGTTGACAATGTGTTCGCTTATTATAGTGTTCACATAACGAGCACAATGTTCACTTTACCATAGCCATGTTAGCTTAATGATCATTACAAAAAGTTCATATAATTGGGCGCATTCACATGATGACTCACTTAACAAATGAAATAACATATGACCTTAATTCCAGGCTTAATCAAGATCATAAATTGAGGACTACTGTACTGTATTCTCTATCAAGTGTTTCTTGTCTCATAGTACACTGAAAAAGAAAAGAGTTATCCTATTCTCCTTCCACACCCCACTAACAAAGATTGAAATCCAATGTATACTTACTTGGAATTACTTTTAAATGAGAAAAGCCTGCTCAATGGCTTAGAGAAGAGAAAATTGTGTTTTGTCAACAAGCAAAAGCCTATTCACAAAGTAAGTCCATCAATCTGGCAAATGGCCCAGAAGCTAAGTACAAGTAGTCCTTGTTTAACAATGGTAATTGGGTTTAGAATTCAGTTGTAAAATCCAACATCATGTGATCAGGGCACCTAGCGACAGACAGCAGTTCCAGCAATCTCTGGTTACCATTATTATGCGAGGACCACATGAGCCAAGCAAGGACCTCACATGAGCCAATTTCCTGACTGACTTTACTTGTGGGAAGCCAGCAGTAAAGATCTCAAATCATGATCATGTGATTGGCATATGCTGCAGCAGTCAGAAATCTGGGCCAGCTGCTGAGTGCCAAGATTGTGATTGCATATCTGTGAGAATGCTGCAATGGCTGGAAGTTTGAGGACCAGTTATAAGTACCATTTCTTCAGTACCATCGCAAATTCAGTCACTGAAAGAGTGGTGGTTAAACTAGGACCACCTGTTGTAAGCTAATGCTAAACAATCTGGGTCAATCTTAAACCCTGGATTTAATACATATTGGAATCATTTTGTTGTTGTTTTTACAAAGGGTAGGTCATAAATAAATAGACAATGTATTGTCCATGTTCAGTCGCCATTTTGTAATAAATTTGAGTTATATAAGTAATTAAAGCTAATTTAATTCTATTCTGCATTATCAAAACTCATCAACTGCTTTAAAAATGATTTCTAAAAATACTGATTAATAAACTTACCTCTTTTTGCTTTATAGAGTCAGCTGAATCATCGTCAGAATAAATATTTGTAGTGGAATCAATATTTTGCAAAGGCAATGTTCTAAGTGATCCATCAGTGTCTTCCTAGTTATAGGACATAAAAACATATTCAACTGAATGCAATTGCCAATTACATAAAAGCACTACTTTGGAAATGGAATATATTTAAACTTTAAAAAAAGTTTTTTTTTTTCATTTTATATGGTTTAAGTTTGGTATTTACAACTTAATTGGATTTGGATATACATTTTTTTTCTAAAGCTCTCTCAAGCCCAACATATGAGTATCAAAGCTATAATATCGTATCTTAGCTCTTCCTCACTGTTATTACTGATTTACCTGCCCATGGGTACAAAGCATCTATGATATCACATGACTGATCCCTCTAATCTGCATATCATGTAAACATTTAAAATGGCCAAAATACCCTACAAATTGTATATTCACTGCTTATCTATCAACCTACCTATCTACCTACCTATCTAATGCAGTGGTGGCGAACCTTTTAGAGACCAAGTGCCCAAACTGCAACCCAAAACCCACTTATGTATTGCCGGGTGCCGGGTGGGCATGGCCTCTGCCACCCGGATCTATGCCTCTAGAGTGATTTCGCGTCCCCCCCCCCATGGCCAAGAGAGAGCAAGAGCGCAGGCGCATGTGGAGAGGCGGAGGGGAGCAGTCTGGCCCGGCCTCCCTCTGAGGCAATGGCACGCATGCCCACAGGGATAGCTCCACGTGCCGCCTGTGGCATCCGTGCCATAGGTTCGCCACCATGGATCTAATGTATTGTGCAATCTCTGCTGCCTACAAAGTTTGCTAAACCCTAGGGTCAGGATGTACTAATCAATTGCACTGCATTTAATCAAAAGCCAACATCCTTTTTCTGATCCCAAAATATTTTACAGATCTTGATTTATAACCAAGCATACATCTTGAATAACCAACTCTCTGATCTTACATCACTAACAGCAAAAATTATTAAAGTTTGTTAGCTATTTTAATTCCATACTGCTACCTTAGAACTGAACTTGCTATAACTTCATGAGTACAAGATAAAAATAACTGAAACATAAGCCCCTCATTGTTTTACTGTTACCACTTCTGCAGTTACATTCTTCTCTCCAATACCATAAACTTTTCCAAAAAAATGCAAGAACTTGTATTTTATGCTTTTAAAGTTATTAGCTGATTTAAATTAAGAATAATTTTTAGAATCATTTCACAGATTAAAATGAGCTATGTCAGAAGCAGCATTTGTCTCAGAATATTAGTCTTGCTGCTCTTATTTTAGTCACATGAGTTTGTGCTTCCTCAAAAAAACATTAATTCATTAATAATTTGCACTAAAATAATTCCATATAGCCTATAAATGTTTACCTTTTCCTGGATGTTCTCATCCACATTTGACAAGGGAGAGTTCTCATTTGGTAAATGCAAAGATACAGATACAGGACTCTCTTTACAAAAGACATGCCAGCTGGGAAATCTGTTAAATTAAAAACAACAAAATACAAAAGGATTTATAAACTTTGAAGCGCTACTGTGCTATGACATACTCAAAATCTATCATTTCTGAAAAATCCTTCTATACAATGATATGGTAGCAAAAAGCTACCATATCATTCAATAATTATAATAAGGTTTAAAAGAACAGAATAAGATGAACAGATTATAAAAGAATATGTACTGGTACAAAACGTGTCATAGTTGACTTGCTACGCAGCCCCACTCGCAACCAGACAACAATAACGGGAAGGGAAAGGGAAGGCAGTGGAATGTAAGGGAGGCTGGGGAGGGGGGACTTTGGATTGCAACTGTGCTGCCTGGAAGCCTGAAATGGATCCAACACCCCTAAGGATACCAGCTGGGAAGGTCCGAGGCAGACAAAATTCCCAAAACAAAGCAAGTGCAAATGATTGATGGATGATGGACAATGGGAGGTCAAGGGGACGGGGGGGGGGAAGGAAAGTTTTTCTATGCTGTTCGCATGCAAAATCTTTAGAACTGGCTTTTCTACTTTGGTACCCATATGGAATCTTCAGTAAAGTTATATTCTTGGTAAAAAAAATGTCCCAGGAGTTTCTTTTGCTGTATAACCCAGTGGGGCAGTTGACATTAAGCCATTTCTCAAAGAAATAGCCTACCTGGATCCCATCAGGAGTTCAACCCCAAGATGTTGACTACGGGCAAAGACTCAGAAGTGAAGAAAAAAAATGGGAGAGGCCCTGGATCAGGAAAAGCCAGCACTCCCTCAGGCTGGAGCACGAGCACAATCAGCTGTCGCATGCTCAAAACCAAAGATTGAGAAGGCCGAGCAACCAGCCACACCACAAAGAAGCAAGAAAGGGATGTCCCGTACATGGGGCTGAAGACTCTGGGCAACAAACGTAGGCAAGGCAACAGAGGCCAAGACCCCCTTTTCCCTTCTGAGGTCAACATGATCTGAGGCAGCAAGTGGAAAGTAAAGTGGCTAGCTGAATGGGACGACCCCCAATGAGTGGAAGCTCCCAATTGCCGGCAGCAGCCCGTCCATGAAACAGGTAAGGGAGAAGTTCAGAGGGATGAAAATTCGTGTTATGGCAATGCCAGGAGCTGCGATTACCATTGGCAGGCTGGGAGCCGTGAAAGCCCCAGTGGCCCTGGCTACTCCTTCTCCTCCTTCTGTCGGCGGCAGCGGCCGCTTCGACTGCGGCCGGTGTCCCAGCGCAGGCAGCAGTGACAGTGGGCTTCACCACTACTCCTCCTCCATTGCAGTGCTGGTGGCCCCAGCCATAGTTAGGGTTCTGGCACAAGAAGTCATGTCCAGAATTCCAGCACCGGCACCAGCAGCCAGTATTCTGCCCCAGGGGTTCGTCCTGGTATGGGAGGAGCACCAGCCAACCTCCTTGGTGGCCTGTTTGAATGGACACCCAAACCCCCTAGCCCATTTCCTGCCTCAAGCCTGGTACCACATGGGACATTATGGACTGATGTACCCAGATTTGGCCCAGGTCCATGTCATTGTGGTCAACTTGGAAAAGAGCACTTTGATCAGTTTCACTGCATGATGAAAATGCCCCAGAGCTGGACAACCTCAATGCCTTCATTGAGGTTGTCCTGTAAGATGTTGGGGCCTAAACACATAGCCTTTCCCCTATCATGCAGGGTTGTGAATCTGGTGATGGTAGAATTGAAATTGCCAAAAACCCTCAGGCACATTCACCCAGTATTTCAATATAGTTTGTTAAAGCCCTTCCATAGCTCATGGCCATTGAGCTTCCTCCCCCCCCCCATATCGGTAAAAGGAGAAAGGCATTTCAAGGTCAAGGAGATTCTTGACTCTCAATGCTACAAGGAGAAGTTGCAATATTTAGTCTTAGGGAAAGGATTTCCCTTGGCAAAAGCAGAATGATGATGGCAATGAATGTCTATGCCCCTATACTCATCCAGAGGTTCCATGCTAAGTACCTGGATTAATAGATTAATGAGTGCAAAGAGATCATGATATAATAATACGTGTTTGTTTCCTTGTAGGATTAATCTTCTTTCTGGAGGGTCGGCATGTCATGTTTGACTCACTACACAGCCCCGCTTGCAACCAGACAACAATAAAGGGAGGGGGGGGAAGGCATTGTAATGTAAGGGAGGCTTGGGAGGCCAATTTGGAATGCAAGTGTGCCAACTGGAAGCTTGAGATGCATCCAACATCCCAAGGTCAGCAGCTGGGAATGTCCAAAGCAGACAAACCATTTCCAAAACAAAGTGAGTGCAAATGATAGATGGACGATGGGAGGTCTGGGGAGGAGGGAAAGTTCTCCTATGCTGTTTGTGTATGAAATTGTTAGAACTGGCTTTTCTACTTCAGTGCCCATATGGAATCTTCAGTAAGTTATACTCTTAGTAAAAAAAAATGTCCCAAGAGTTTCTTTTGCTGCCTAATTCAGTTGACAGCAGAAGGAAGAGAATCTACCATTATTTTTGCAGAAACCAATCCTGTTGTGGCTATCTAAAGATCTGTAAAATTCTTAGTTATGTTTTACATAGCAAAATGTATGTGATTTTTTTACATCTAGTTTGAAATTATGCTCAGAAACCATAGATCAATATTCCTATCAAACTTGTAAAATGCTATATGTTCAATGTCATATGATCCTGTCCTAGGTCCAATTCATTATTTTCATTAGTGACATAAACGAAGGCATGGAAAGAAGCCTTATAATATAGCCTCTCAAAAGTCAGAACTAAATGTTGAATTACCTGGTAAACTGGTAATTTAGTTAAGTAAACTGGAAATATTCATCAAAAATTATTAAATACACCTAAGATACTTCATTAAAATATAGATACATATTACCATACTTACCACTAATAGCCTTGAAAAAAAAACTTTGAAATTGATTTAATACAGCTAAATTGGTACATTACGCAAATTAGTAAAGGGTTACAAACAACATCACTCTGCAAAGTTCTTAAGTTACTATATTCTCCAGAAGGATTCAGCACAGTTATTTCAAAGAGTTTTCCAAGTCATCCCCACATGTACGTCCATAGCTGCTTTGCTGGCAGTCCCAGCACAAATATTGTCTTTGAATGCATGTTCAGAGAACACGAGGAAATACTCAAAACAATTGTGTTGAGCTTTCTGTAGATCAGACATGTCAAACTCGCAATGTCACATGACGTCGTGTAACGTATTGGGCCAGTTTTGCCATTGCTGGCAATGGGATGGGCGCGGCTTCCGGATGACGTGTCCGGCCCACAGGCCGGCAGTTTGACACCCCTGCTGTAGATTATGGCTGCCTCAATGCTTTGAGAAGAGGAAATTTATTTTTGCCAGTATGTTTTGCAACACAACTCAGGTGCTTTGTACAAACCTAGTAGGCAGCTAATTAGATTTTGGGGTTCTATTAATAGTTGTAATAAGCATCCAGTTCTGCATGCTGCAGTTTAAAAATAGTCTTGACAAATTCTTAAATATTAAAAATGGTACAGAACTTGATCTTAGTTAAAAAAAAAAACTGAGAAGACAAAATCCCAAAGAAGCCAGTTGTCTAACTGGAGAAAAAAAGACTGGGAGAAGCATATTTAACTTCATCTGAAGTTTAGGAGAAATTGCACAGCTTCTTAATAAAAAGACCAGCTGCTGGATTTGAAAGTCCTCACTCAGTACCTAAAGACAGGTAGTTCTCATTTACCAACCACAACTGAGTCTGGCAACTCCATCACTAAGCACTGTTGTTGCTAAGCGAAAAATCATGTGATGTTGCTAGATTTATATTACTTGGGCTTCCGTTATTAAACAAATCACTGCAGTTGTTAAAGCATAAGATGACCATAAGTTAATTAATTCTGCTTTTTGGAAAATCAGTTGGGAAGTTTGCCAATGATGATCATGTGACTGTGGGATGCTGCAACAGCTGTAACTGTAAGGATTGGTAACAAATCCTTTTTTTCCAGTTGGAGTAACTTTGAACAGTTGCTAAACAAGGCAGTTAGTAAGCAAGGACTACCTGTAATCTTCCTTATGAATCAGAGTGTTGGATTAGATGGTGATATGCAGTTTGATAAAAACATTGAAATTTGTTTGTAACTAACAATATAAAATTGTTAGTTACAATTCTCTGAATAATTCCAAGCAGTCTTTCTTGATTCTTTGATTCCTGATGGCAATAACAGACATTTCTTTGAAAATATATATTTTGCACTCTAACTGCTGTGGATATTATTTCTTTTATCGGTTAGAATTAAAACATAGTCACAATAATCTAAGATAAATCTTTAAGGCATCTATTGGTTTTACTTGCACCAACAAACCTTTCTCTCTTTTGAAATTTTTTTTCTTTTATATATTTACTTAAAGGATGTATTCCATGATGCCTAGGGAGATGAAGTTGCCAAAAAGCCTCAAGTGGATCCATTCAGTATTTCATTGCAGTCTTTTAAAATCTTTTCACAAATCTGGCTTGAGGCCAGTCAAGAAATCACCTCCTCCCATTCTAGTTAAGGGAGAAGGCCCTATGAGTTCAAAAAGTTTCTTGACTCCAGATATCACAAGGGAAAATTACAATACCTAGTACTGTGGAAAAGCTACCCATTAGCAGACGCTGAATGGGTGACTGCTCCAGATGTTAGGGCAGCGAGGTTAGTTAAGTAGTTTCATAATATGTACCCTCAATGGCCCCAATGAAGGGTGTGACAACAGTTGGGTTGTAATGATGTGTGTGTGTGTGTGTGTGTGTGTGTGTGTGTGTGTGTGTTTGTTTGTTTCAGGTCTATCCTTCTTTCAGGGGGGTCGGCATGTCAAGGCTGATTTGCCCTTTCAACTATATTCCGCTTCACTCACAGCTTGACAAAGAAAAGGGAAGAGGTGGGATAGAATGCAAGGGTGGGGGAAATTGCATCTAAGCATCATCGGTTCCCATGAGACAATGCTCCAACCCAAAGATACATTGAGCAGGTTTGGGTATTGCTCCAAGGGTTCCTTTTATTATTGGTACAACCATTGATTTCTTCTTCCATAATCACTCAACTTCCTCCATAATTGCTCAAGTTCAATTTGCAAATCATGATTTTTTTTTCTAGCTGCTTTTCTTCAATTTGTGCATCACCTGGTATTGCAATATCAATATTATCATTTAAGATTTAATCTTCACTTCAATTCACAGTCTGGGACTGGTAAAAACTTTAACAGTTCAAGTCCGAACCAAGGTCCTAAGAGCTGTTAAGATAATATTTGAATATATAGCCAGTGCCAACTATGGTGGTTTTTTACAAAGTCAGAATATTCAGATCTGATAAGTTCAAACTGTCCATGTATTTAGGCAATCCTTTGTGTCTTGCTCCAAGGGCTCCTATTACTATTGGTACAACCATTGATTTTATTTTTATTATCATTATTTATATTTGATATTCAAATAGACTGCAATTCCACTTCTAAGTCAAAGGGAAATTGCACTCTATGCGAACAATCAAATACAATTTGAGATTTTTTCTGAATTCTACAGTGAAGAAGCTAATTATCATTAGAATAGAATAGGGCTGGAAGGGACCTTGGAGGTCTTCTAGTCCAGCCCCCCGCTCAAGCAGGAGAACCTATACCGTCTCAGACAGGTGAATGTCTAGTCTCTTTTACCAGTTTAGACTGGTACCCACTCTGACCCTATCTAGATGGACAACTTTGTTTCAATTATTCATGGTCTCATAACAATTATTTTCATATCCTCTATATATGACTATTTTTAAAAACAGTCTAGAAATTCAAACTATGTACTCACATAAAAATTGTCATATAAAGACAATAGTGATGTCTACTTTATCACTTCATGTGATCGTCTACGTAGCAATAGTATGTAGCTTGCCAGTTCATTTCCAGACTCAATTTAAAGTACTGACCTTGCTTTTAATAACCCTTCCCATTCTCTCAAATGTAACAGTAAGTTCAACTGGTGTCCACCAATACTAAAAATCCAACCAATATCTGGTGAGTGCCTTCTTTATATATTGTCTTAATATTTTAATAGTAAATCCAGTTTTACTATTGATTTTTAAAATATTTTTTATTTTAATAATTTGGACTTTGTTTTTTTAACATTTTGGGTTTATTAGAAAATCTAAATTATAAATCTTTTAAAAAGTAAATGTAAAATAAAACATGTTTGTTCTCAAGATACCTTTTGCACAGAATACTATTAGTCACCACAACTTCTAAAAATCTACACTTAGAATTTAGAGCAGTGATGACGACCCTGCTCTACCTCCTGCCCCGCTCCCGCTCTGCCCCCCCATCTCCCGCCTCGCCTGCCCACAGGGCCACTCACCGCCTCCAGGGCCCGCCGCAGATCGCCCAGATAGCCCAACAGCACTATGGCGGCCATACCCTCTGCCCACGCCCTGCGGCATCAACTACATGATGGGGTGTGAGGGCAGAGTCTTGTCTACACTGCCTGGCTGCCATGTCCTTGTCAGCGCTGCTCCGTGTGGACCACACTAGAGGGCAACTCTTTCAGGGGGGCTGCTGGAGAGGAGGGGGTCGCGGGGACAGGCAAGCCTGGGGCAATGACACTTGTGCCCACAGGGAGGGCTCCGAGTGCCGCCTCTGGCACCCGTGCCATAGGTTCGCCACCACTAATTTAGAGAATGATGTTAAATGTCAAGAACAGAGAATCCCTTCCAGATGTGTTGATATCTATTACTGCTATCAGTTTTAGACAGGGTAGAATGCAGAACTGCACCTGACAGGGAAAGGGTGTTACATATACAGCTCAACTCATTTGTTTTAAAAAGTATTCCAAATAAGAAATTATTCCCCAGCATTTCATTTCTTATAAATCAGGCACACTTTTTAAAGCATATAGGTTTATCTCCAATAAGCATGGAGAGATTTGGGAGGAAAAGTCTGGTTTCAGCATAACACCTGGCCAAGCAGAAGCAGGCATTTTCTTTACTTCTGGGGCACATACCGAAAATGGATTCTAAAGCCTAGTGAAATTAAAATTTCGCTCCATGAACTAGAAGTTGTAGGATTGGACAAGAAGTTTTAAAATAATCGCTGTTTGATATGTATGGGAAACAAACGGCGTAGATGTGAAAGAAGTTTCCGGGACCCAACACTTACCTGTCCCCTTCCTACCATCTTTAGATTCTCGGGCGGTTAAAGCACTCACCCAAGCAAGCAACCGAGGAGGGAGGAGGCCGCCAGTATCAGAAGCCGACGGGGCAGCACCTCCTTCATCGTCTCCTCCGTGCACTTCTTCGGGCCAGGGGGTGGCGACGCATCCTCTCGGTGGCCGTTGCTGTTGGTTACGAGACAGGGCCAAGCCGAGGAGGGCCTTCTCACAGGACAGGCTTGAAGCAGGCGCGTCGGCGGCCCTCTTCAACCCCTGACTCTCTCGCCGCTTCTCCCAACTAAACCAGAAGCCCTCTCAGTCTTGTTCGTGTTCGGTCGCGTTGAGGTAGAATGTGACGCGTCAGCCACACAGAAGCCCTAAGGAAAGGGAAGAGAACGCGATGAGCGTTCTGCGCCTGCGTACTGAAAAATTACTTCAAACCCCACCCATCTTCCTCGGAAGAGCTCAGCCCAACCGCCAGGGTCTAGCAGTGACGTTTCTCTAAAAAAACGATATCTAATTGGTTTCTGCTCTAGCAGTATGATCTCTTTCGGATAACGTCAGGGGTGTGGCTACAGCAACGCCGGAGACGCAGTTCCTTTGACGTTAGGGGTTGAAAGGTAGCTAGTAGGTTCGTGAATTTTTTTAAAAAGGTGTTGTTGCATGGTGCGAGGCAAGTGGACTTTTTGATATATCGGGGGCTAATAAGGAATCATCCAATTTCTTGGTTTGTTTTAAGCATTTTCTCTGAGTGGGAATTAGAATTGCTACCAGGCAGGCAGAGATAGCTTTCTTTTTTGTGGGTTTTTTGAATCCTGTAGCATGCTTCAGAACAACCCTCATTTCCACATCGCAGGCTGTTGGAAGCAACAGGACAAGTCTGTTTACCACATTCACTGTTTATTTATTTATTAAATGTATATGCTGCGCAACTCCCAGAGACTCTGGATAGTTTACAAAGGAAAACATGAAAAATTGTCAAATTCCATCCTGATTTGCACAGGATAGATCTTAGCAGCCTTCTGAAGCAGACTTGCCTGTAAAATTAAGGAGTAACACCTCGTCAGTTTGTGGAACCAGTCTTTGCTGGCAATGATAGCGTTTTCTACAGAGTGGTTGGTATAAGAAGTTTGATGCTTAAATAAATCTGTTGTAAAGAAGAATCACCCTAGCAAAATTTTACCAATCTTCTCTGTACTTTTTCCTTGTGCTGGTCTTAAATACAAATAAATAGTTCATTCTCCATTTATAGCAACTACCTACCTAAGCCACAAATTTAGCAGTAGAAATTCTGCCAATTTGCATTGCCTCTCTGATCTGTTCTTTGTTTCCTTGTATATCTATGGAACTTCGTTGATACTACAACACACAAAGGTCACATGGTGTCCTATCTACTACCAATTGCATTGATTTTTAGTATGAGTTTTGTGAGTAAAAAAAGGAATCCATGAATATAGATCCTGCAAATATGGATACCTAACTGTACTCTTAATTAAACAATACATAATTAAAGTGCAAAAGTCTATGAGTTTAATTCCTGGTAAAGGATTTGAACCCTGTAAAATAACATCCGGATGCTTATGTCTGATGAATTTTAAAATGAAACTAGTTGCGTAGTGCCTACCTTTGTTAATATAACTGAAAACCCCACACATGCCATATTACATCCACATATCAAAATCCAATTATATTTCATTTCTATCTACCTACTCTGATATAAAACCAATTCTTACTCTCTTCTGGATTCTGTCATACTGTGAAAGGGGAAGAGGGTAAGCATGGGGGCTTTATGACTCTCACTTCCTGCATTAACTACAAAGTAACCTTTTGTTGATTCTCTTCGAGAGTACTAACCATAACAATGCGGCCATCCGCCTTTCATCCTACTCCCTCTAAATTTCTCCCCTTTGCAGGCAGTGAGGGAAAAGGGTGGGGGGAAATGCAACACGTGTAAAGACAGAATGAGTGATGGTGCTGACAGAGCGGGCCGACAATATATTTCCTGGACTTAACACCTAGAAATCTGCCAAATTGAATCGCCTGGAAGAACTGTGGGGTGGGGCTGCTTGGGAACACTTTAAAACATTGAGTGGTGGGAGAGGATCCCCCAGATCCTGTCTAGCATGCCTGCGATCAATTTCTCTTAATAAAAATTCCTGTTGGAAGAGACGTTCCAAGAGTTCTGTTTTCTTAAGATGTAAATTGTGGTGGGTCCTTACACCACATATGTTAATCAAAAGGAAGTATCTTATTAGGCAGTTTAAATACAGTATCCTACTGCAAGGATGTTTAAATATTTTTGGCAGGTAGGGACACTGGGAAATTAGATAGGGTATTATGTGAATGCTCACAAATAATAACCAAAAGGCTTATTCACACAGTATTTTTGCTAGAGGGCATGGCTAGTCACAAAACATCCATGTAAGAGAGTAGAAGATTCCATTTTAGCTTCTCAGATTAGTTTCTACTTCTGTTTGCTTTCTTTTTCCTGGCAGGGAGAATGCATGCAAAAGAGAGTACTGGACTGCAGACCCCTATCGTTTTTTTTTTACTTTCTAAATAATGCTTCTAGGATATCTATTGAGCAAACATCTGTGGAAATGATAATTACTCTATGCCTAACGCTGACACTTTGCTTTTCAGTAAACTAGCTTCTGTTTTTCTTTAAAGTAAAAGATCAAGTGGAAAATAAAGTCTGTTGGGTATGAAAGGAATTGTCCACAGGGACACTAGAATCCATGAGGATCCAAACTTCACAGAATATCATCCACACATAGGATATGACTGCACATCATAGAGCATTGCGTACTTTAGATCAGGGCTTTTCAACTGGTGGTGTGTGTACCATTGGTGGTACTTTGGCACCTGGCAGATGGTATGTGATCTAGACAAGTGTAGCGGGGGGGGGTGAGTTGAAGCAGCGGCATTGCTGATCAGCTGAAGTGGCAGAGCTGCACAGTCAGCTGGAGCTGCAGTGTTGCTGGGGCTCTGCTGAGGACCCAGGATTGGTGTGTGTGACTCCAGCTGACTGGGGCTTCCAGCGGCCTCAGGTGGCCAGCAGCTGCACGCAGTCTTCGGGCAGAGAGTCAACTGGAGTGCGGTTGTGCTGAGGGCCTATAATTGGCATGTACGGCTCCAATTAATCAGGGCTTCCGGTGGCCTCTGTATCACCGGGAGCAGCAGAAAGACCTTGGAACAAGAAAGCTGGAGCTGCAGGGCTGCCAGAGCTTGGCAGAGGCCCCAGGATCAGCGCGCACAGCTCCAGCTGATCAGTGCGGTGTGCAATGGCCAGCCGGGGAGTGGGTGACCGCATGGGGAGTGAGACTGGGTAGCGACCGACACTGGAGCTCTCCCTGAGCCCCAGAGAGTGGCGCCCCTGGAAGAAAAAAGGAGGGGCGAGAAAGGAGAGGCTATAAAAGGTTTTGGCGGGAGAGTGAGAGAAAAAAAATGATGGAAAGAGAAGGACAGAGAAAGAGGAGAGGCTTCTGTGAGACAAGCAGAGGGATTAACGAAGGAGGAGAGGCTGTGAAAAAGAGGGAGTGGAAAGGGAGAGAAGAAGAAAGGCCGGCCAGCTACCTGACCACCAATGTAGTGGTGCATATTAATAAATATGGGTAAATTTGTCATACATTCAACAGTACAAAGGGAAAGTGATTCAGCAAAGAAACTGTCACCAAAGAAATTAAAACTGGTTCTTTTTTCCTTTTTTTTTTTTTTTTTTGGTCAGCAAATTTTTCACATATTGCTAAGCACTGATGGTTCTCGAATATTGTTATGTCTTAAAAGTGGTACAATCTGTGAAAAGATTGAAAAGCACTGGTTTAGATAAATGACCAAATTCAAATTAAGAATAGAGCTGGAAGGGACCTTGGAGGTCTTCTAGTCCAGTCCCCTGCTCAAGCAGGAGACCCTATACCATTTCAGACAGGTGGTTGTCCAGTCTCTTAAAAACCTCCAGTGCTGAAGCATCCACAACTTCTGAAGGCAAACTGTTCCACTGATTAATTGTTCTCACTGTTAGGAAGTTTCTCCTTAATTCCAGGTTGCTTCTCTCCTCAATTTGTTTCCATCCATTGTTTCTTGTCCTGTCCTCTGGTACTCTGGAAAATAAGTTGACCCCCTCTTCTTTGTGGCAGCCCCTCAAACACTGGAACACCACTATCATGTCACTCTAGTCCTTTGCATTTAATTAATTAAAAGAAAAAAATAAAGACAATTAAAAGAGAAAGTCAATTAAGACAGAGCAAAAGATACTACTTACCCAACTCTGAGAGTGATTGCTATTATAACAAGTAACCTAGTATGGTATATCTCTAAAAATTGGAGTAGTAAAAACAATTTAAAAACAAAACTGTCTTAATTAAAATGGTTGAGTCAAGGATGGGTAACTGTTTAGTGACTAGGTCACCCAACCTTCATAGGTAAGTGAAGGTCAGATCATAGCTGGCCTTTTGTATTTTCTCCTCAATTCTGAAGGGTAAAACTGTAAAAAAAGAAATTCACTTAATTCATTAATTCTTTTTTATAATATAGCTGCAGTCTTTACCTCTTTCAGCTTTAAGGTAGTAGGAAATGGTGTCATTGTGGTCAGAAGGGGGTTCAGTAGCCAGAGAGATAACTCATACATTATATACAGACTTTAGGTTGTTGTCCTTGTGTTAGATGAAGAATTTGGGCTATTTGGATTTACTATGTTTGCCTTTCATTGCTACCAGAATTCTGGATTCTTTATAACCATGGAAAGCAAATGTATACTGCTACCAGGACTGTACATTACATTATGCATACACAAAGCTATTATTCATCCCACATTTTTAAATTTTATGGGGTCATAGTACAGACTTAGTATGTTGTAGTAACTTGAATTGAATTGTGATTTTATCTGCTGGAACAAATGGACTTTGAAATCCCTGTCATCGGTTAGTCTATGTCCCTGTGAGTTGTCATCCAGCATGTCAGTTTTCTTCTTTAAAAGTACCACAGTTGGAACTTTACAAATACAGCCTCTGATAAGATATCTGGCAGCTGATATTTCCATTTAAGTTAAATTCAAACCAAGCTTTATCCTCAGTTCTCCAGAGCACTGAAAAACTTCAGTAGTAGTTGCTGTCAAATGACATAGTTTAAACCCTTTGTTTGAGATGGAAGAACAAAGAGGATCCTTGTTGCCTCTGTTCAGCAATAAACTGAAAAACATCAGCCTTATGTTTTCCCCAGATCTTTCACAACTCGCATACTTAGATTCAAAGTTCCTAATCCACAATAAAAGGAATCCCATTAATAACAGTAGATCTGACATTTCCCACAGCATATATTCTCTTTTAAAATTTCTGATGTAAATTCATAATAAGTAATTTCAGAAGTAAATATTATACTTTCTATAAATTGTAGCCTCTGTAGCACATATATTTATGCAAAGATTATCTTCATTATTCTAAAGCTCACTCAGTAAATATTCTGATTGCTGCAGGACAGGATTTAACACAAACCAGTTTTTCCAGGTAGAAGTATATTCCATTCCAAAATATCCAACTGGAGCCTTCTTTTTTGAGAACTGTTACAGAGTGCTGAATGCTTTGAACTACTTTGATACAGCCTGAAACCCGGTTCAAATATTTTGACAACCCCATCCTCAAATCTCATTTACTGGATCCTCACGGACTCCCTCCCTCCCTTCCTCACCCAAATAGCAGCTACTCCATGTTTTGTATATGTCTGCAATCCTCAGTCAGAGATAGAATACTATAGTACCTTTTGAGGTATGATACTTTTTTATGCAAAGCCTTAAGAGAAAGTTGGTTCCAATTTGGAGTCATCACCGAATGCCCATCTTCCTAGATGCAGGTCTGTTGGGCGAGTTTGGGTTTGGCGGTCCTCTATAATATTCAATAAAATGTACATCCAGGGAAGTGTGTATCCAGGTCCATCAAGACTCACAACATGCAATCCCTTTTGTATTCAAATATGTTTAGAAACCTCTCCGGGTGACACAACTTCTATAATGGATCGCGAAAAGGTCTTGCGAGCAGCAAATCCAGTAATAATTTTTTTGTCTATAAATTGGCCAGCAGAGGGCAACACGAATCCAATTTTTATTCCTCAGTCGGATATGTCGTCACAGCAGAATTTCCTTTTCCGACATACGCAATTCTAGCCGAGGTAAGAGAGGTTTTTATTATTATTATTTATTGATTTATTTAAGAAGCTGTTTTTCCTGTTCTGGTTCGTTACTGTAGTTGGAATCTCCAGTATTGACTACAGAAAAATGACAGCATAGTCATTTCAACTTGGAGGCAATGAAAGTGCATTTGTTCAGAAAGTAAAATCAATACAGAGGCAGCAGGGACGCGACTCCAGTCAGGAAGCTAAAATGAAACCTTCCACCAGAACAGCCCCCCTTTAAACATGGTTTCCCATCTATCTTGATTGCAGTCTTAGGATTGCCTCTCAAACGCAAATTATGCCTTACATTGGCACTAGAGTATTCATTGTGTATCATCAGAGAATTTTGCTGCACAAATTAATTTTGTAGTGTTTATGGAATGGCGCCTAGTAAGAAACCCTCCACTCAAATATTCCTGTGTAGAAGGAACTGCTCTTATCACAGTTGCAGGTTTGCGGAAAAATGATGGCAAGAAGCTGTAGAATTTGACTACCAGGAAGAGCAACTTGCTAAAATTATTACATTTATCACCATTATTAGTTGCACAAAGGAGCGTGGTAGTTCTAAAATAGCCTTCCTTAATCTAGTATTATTAAGGTGAATTGGATCACAGATCCCTTAGATACAATGAATAGGTTGGGAACAACTGTTCATAAAATGGAAACACGTGAGTAAGAGGTGCAGTCTCTGTGCACTAATTAGCAATGTTACAAACATTGATAGTTGTCAGGAATTTTTCATAGTCATAAAATATCACAATTACAAATAAGGCTGCTGTGTAGCAGTCTTTCTAGCCCTCTCAATGTAGCAGATGCTCACTTTCATAGATATAAGCCCTTTTGATTTCTCTAATTTCAAAGAGCCCTGCATTTTTTCTTTCTTTCTGACCTGCCTTATGAGTGCCAAGTGATATAATTGAACCATCAACCCTTAATGAAAACATTTTTTATTGATTAAATTGTTGGAAATTGTTTATATAGGTGGAGAGTGATTATCTACCACTGGTAAATTATGTTATTTTGTTTCTAGATGATATGAACATCATAGCATGATATTGTGAAGAAGTATGAGGCAATGGCAAGAAATATACTCTGTGTCCAACTGGAACATACCATAAGGCAACGTTGGCAGAAAGTGTTGTACAAAAGGCAGTCATTTCCTGATAACTATGTGGATCAAAGTTTCTTAGAGAAGTTGCGCAAGAATATCCATGCGCGCAAGTATCATTATTGGGCAGTGGTGTTTGAATCTGGAGTGGTGATACAACAATTATGTAACGTCTGTGTCTTTGTTGTCATCTGGTGGTATATGGATATGGGCCTGTTGTCTCCCAAGTGGCTATTTGGAGCTGGCTTGATTGCCTCGCTGATTGGTTATGTACTCTTTGATGCCATTGATTCAGGATTAGAAAGAAATCAAAGCGGCCAGACACGATGGGGAGATCTGAAGAATTCTGTGGTATTTGTGGCATTCACCTATGGCTTCTCTCCTATCCTGAAGACCTTAACTGAGTCCATCAGCACTGATACAATTTATGCTATGTCTGCTCTAATGCTCCTAGGACATTTGATCTTTTATGATTATGGGGCAAATGCAGCTATTGTGTCCAGTACCTTGTCCCTCAACATGGCTTTCTTTGCTTCAGTCTGCTTAGCCTCACGGTTGCCACGGTCCTTACATGCCTTTGTCATGGTGACATTTGCTATCCAGATATTTGCCCTATGGCCTATGCTACAGAAGAAGCTCAAAGCTCAAACCCCCCATTGTTATATGATAGCTACCTTACTCTTTGCTTTATCTACCTTAATGGGACTACTAACCATTTCAAGTGTTGGCACTATTCTTTTTGTTCTCCTTTTGATTGCCATCTCATGTCTATGCCCTTACTGCCTCATTAGGCTGCAACTCTTCAAAGACAATATCCATGGGCCTTGGGATGAAGCTGAAATCAAGGAAGATCTGTCCAAGTTCCTTATGTAGACCAGGAGTCCACGCTTTGGGGTTCAATTCTTCCAATTATCCTAGTCCCAGCTAATAAATGCTTTATTAAAGCAAATAAAGCAAGCAGAAATGAAATACCTTTGAAAATGCCTGAGAACAATTTATTTACAACATGATTTTTTTATCAACCACATTGTGTATTTATTTCAGTTGAGCTAATAGATATAAAACTAATGCAGGCAGTCCTCATTTAGTGACTGCCTCATTTAGCAACTATTCAAAATTATGATGGTGATGACAAACTAAATTTATAATCAATGCTCACATATACAATGCTTGTAGTTCTGTAGAGCAAAGAAAAGCTGAACTAAGAGCGTAAGCACAGTTGTGGATTCACTTAATACTGTTTCACTTAACAGCTGCTTCACTTGACCAAGTTGCAGGTCCCAGTTGTGGCTAAACAAGGACTACCTGTGAAACTCAGTAATTTATTTATCAAATTTCTACAATGGCTATTTCAGTGGCCGGTTTACAAATAAAAATCATAAAAATATAGTACAATTTTTTGGAGGTGGGATGAGGTTTTATGGGTTTTTATGTTGTGGATTTTTAATGTTGTAAGTCACCTAAACTGTGAATTGGATGGCCGTATAAGTGTGTTTAATAAATAAGTAATGTTAAAAACAGAATTAAAACTAAGGTTTTATATTATATTTTTATATTTTTACATTAAAAGTTATAAGGCAGAGAGAGTGATCTTAAGCCACCAACCAGCCCCAAGGTTGTATGACATTCTTCAACCCTCCATGCCAGTTGTCAGAGTCAGGTCTTGAAGCCCTTTTAGATTGTGTGGAGAATGGGGGAAGCCCATTCTATTCTATGCACTGGGAACAAAAACAGAGAAGTCTGTCTTCCTAGACCGCCTCCCCCCTCCCGACAAAATTATTTAACTGATGGGGTCTGCAACTTATCTTCCCTGTGGGAAGAGTTGGGGTGCATTGATGAAATAAGGATGAGACAATTCCTCATCTTTAATGAGTACAATTATATATTTAAATAAATGTCAGGTTTGCCAAGTTCAGCTTGGTGCCTCCCAGGCACCCTGCTGTCAAAGGCTAGAAGGGGGGGGGAGGAAGGATAGATGGGCAATAAAGCTGTGTGTGTGTGTGCTGGGAAATAAGGAGGGGGGAATGATAGGTGATAAAGACCAGAGCAGCTCAGAACCAGTTTGTACCAGCATCCAAGGCCAGGCACCCTGAGTAAGTATGTGGATTACCCCAAAACATCTCAGCTTTCTCAAAACTTTTTGGCAAGTTTCAAAGACAGACTGGTCACGAGGAGGGCTGGGATGATGGTAAACCTTTATGTATCTTTTGAGAACGGGAAATCCAGAGCTAGCCTGACTTTACTGTACCCAACATCTTTTAGTAAAAGAACCTTTTACTTCAACCAAATGGAGTCAAGGGTTTTTCTTTCTTCAATTGGGACAGGTCTGACATTGAACATAAATTTGTCTCCTGGGGGCTTACACGAACAGTTATGGCATGATATGGAAGTGGTTTGCCCTTGTATTATTCCTGTTGTTTTTCTTTCAATTAAAGTTTATTTGTCAGATCATCATTTGCACCAAATCTGGCATCGGTCACCAGCTATAACAATCAAGTATCTGAAGAGATAAATCTAAGATAATATTCCTGTAAGGCAAGGGTGTCAAACTGGCAGCCTGTGGGCCGGATGCGTCGTGTGCAAGCCATGCCCACCCCGGCTCCACAAAGGCAAAAAAATCACGATATGTCATGTGACGCGATTGTGTTTGACACCCATGCTGTAAGGTATCCCTTATGCAGTTAAAAGTGTAAGATGTCTGTTGTTGAGATACGTAACTACTAATTAAAATAGTTTTAGATCACAATGATTCCTGCCCTGAGCAACCCTATAATTCTATAACCTATTTTAGTAATTTTATTCATTATAATTTGGCACTGCAGATGTTCTGGTTAAAATTTCAACCAAATATATTATTTTCAAAGCCAGAACCAAGTTCTGGTTTGGTCATAAGTAGATCTAAATCAGGCCTGATTTTCTTTTTTAAAGAGTAAAGTTACAGCCTTCTTGAAAGCCATGCTGATGAGCACCTCCAAGTCTTGCCACCTATAGGAGATTTCTTGCTCTCATTCTGATTCTTTATGAGATTAATGCTATGCAGGTCTACTATGGCACACAAGAATTTCTAGGCTTGGTGGTGGTTTGTTCTCCAAGCTTCTGAATATTTCATCACCAGACTAGGTGACATCCTCAGCAGGACTTTGGTTGAAGTGTCTTGTTTCAGTTCTTCATTGCTTTTATTAGTCTTGTGGTCAGTGGGTCATGTGACCTGTCAGCTGGTCATTGTGTGTGAAAGTTACCAAGTGAAGAGGTGGTCAGTGCTGTCATTGGTTGGTCGCTCAATTAATATGGCTCCTTATGGGTTCATAGGCTGGCTCCAAATCAACATGTTTGTTGTTAAATCGATTGGTTGAGTACTGGGCTTCAATGAATAGGCATGCATGGCGTGTGGTGGCACCAGAGGGCAGGACAAGAAACAATGGTTGGAAACTGACCAAAGAGGATCCGGTTTGCTTCGTGGCATCACAGGCTAGGGAAAAACGGGGCTCCTCTTCCCACAGCTGATTTCTCCCTGTCTGGACCCCTAAAAGGGTCTAAAGTTACCCCAGAGAGACAATGAAGAAGGAAAGAACCCCTGTTGATCACAGAAAGATGGCAGTCAATCTGTTTGATCCAAGGAAAGCCCTCTAAACCAGCACGGGAAAGACAAGCTGCAATCATGTGATGAGTCAGAAGCTACTGACAACCAAAGAAAGAAAGCGTTATTTAGCAAATTGTGAGCATCATGTTTGGAACTGGGTGAGACTGTTTTTCTTTTTTCTACTATTTGGCAACTGAGTCCCTGGAAAAGAAATTCCCCAAATGCAACAAACAAACAAACCCCCAAACGTGAGAGGGAAGGGGATTTTTGACCCTTCCCTCCAGAGAAACGAAAGTTGTGATTTAATCCTTGTTTTGGGGGACAGAAACAGAGAAGAATACAATATTAAATTGGAAATAATATAAAGACACAGCTTTCACAAACTTGGCAATTTAGAGAATTCTTAAAACTTTTTTGAAAAAAGATTGGGTGAAGAAGAGACAGAAAATACAGAGCAAGAAGGAGGGGCAATGGCAAGACAACAGAGACAGACAAAAAGTAATAAGAGAATAAAATCTAAATATAAGTAAAGAAGATGGAAAAGGAAAGTGGGATTCTCTCAATGAACATAAATGGATTGAACTCCCCCTCAAAAAAGAAAAAAAAATTACACAACTACAAAAACTAAAAATGGATATAATCTGCCTTCAAGAAACACATATAAAAAGAAAACATTATAATTTTTTGGAATGCCCCAAAATTGGGAAACTTTACTTTTCATCAGCACAACAAAAGAAAAGAGGAGTAGCCTTATACATTAAGGAGACAATAAATTATTTATTTTTTTAATTTTTAATTTTCCTTTTTTTTCTTTACAAAGAAACATAATACACAATACATTTTTTCTTTCCCCTTAACAATACTATGTCCTATATCTCTTAAATTTATTTACATTTTTTACATCACTTCTCATACATTTTTATTCCGCAATTGTAACCAGTTATAATACATGTCCCATATCTTGTAAAATTTTGTAGCTTCTTTGTCTTTTATTTCTAAGGAAAGTTTGTTCATCTCAGCACAGTCTAATATACATACAATCATTGCATTTGTTGGTACGTTCTCCCTTTTCCAACATTGCGCATATGCAATGCGTGCTGCAGTTATAATATGTATAATGATATATTGGAGTTGTTTCTCGATTTTTGGGTTAATTATGCCTAATAAAAATATTTCGGGTTTGAGTTCAATTTGTTGTTTTGTTATTTCCTGTAACCATCTTCTTATCTGCTCCCAATAGGTCTTTGCTTTGGGGCATTGCCACCACATATGATAAAATGTTCCTTCTTTGTTTTTACATTTCCAACAATCCGGATTCATATTTTTGTATATTTTAGCCAATCTTGCACCGGTGCTAAATGCCATCTATAGAACATTTTGTATTGGTTTTCCTTGTATGCAGTTGACAACGTTAATTTGTAATTTATGTTCCATGTTCTTTCCCATTCCTGTAATCCTATATTTCTACCTATGTTTCGGGCCCATGCTATCATCAGGCCCTTTACTATTTCTTCTTCCAATTCAATTTCTAATAGGAGTTTATAGGTTTTAGTTAAGAATTTTTCTCCCTTATTTGTCAATATTTTATCCAATTGTTGTAATGTCCGACATATCCCATACTCCTCCATATCCTTATTGTATTTTGATTTTATCTGTGTATATGGTCACCAATCAATAGTCATTCCCTGTTCTTTTAATTCATTTCTTGATCTTAGCTTCCCTTGGTTGTCTAATAATTCTTTGTATCTTATCATCTTTGTTTTATCTAATGTGTTTGGATGAATCATCGCCTCCATTGGTGAGATCCAAATTAGGATTTTTGTATAGTATTTTTTTTTTACTTTTTCCCATATCCAAATTAATGCATCCCTTATCTGATGTCGGAGAAAATATGTATGAGTTTTCTTATCTTTTCCCCATAGAAAAGCATGCCATCCAGCCTGTACATCATGACCTTCAATTGTTAAGACCCTTTTGTTTTCTAGGTTTATCCAGTCACTGATCCAAAGCAATCCCGCTGCTTGATAGTAAATTTCCCATTTTGGGAGTCCCAAGGCCACCTCTACTTCTACTATCCTGTAATGCTTTAACACAGTGGTTCTCAACCTTTTTAATGCCGCGACCCCCAACCAGTCGTAAGTCGATGACTACTCAACTGGTGCAGCATCGTTTGGAGAATGGGACTTTTGGCGGGCTCAGCAGGGCAGAAACAACCTGGACAATTCCTATTGGCTTTTGAAAGCCAATAGAATTAGACTCTATTCAAGAGAGTCTATTCTATTGGCTTTCAAAAGCCAATACAATAAAAGAGAGTAGCACAGCTAAGGAAAAGGGGGAAAAAATGGCGGACTGCGTTGTTTGGCGACCCCCGTGAAATGGTCGTTCGACCCCAAATGGGGTCCTGACCCACAGGTTGAGAACCACTGCTTTAACATTTATTCGTGCTTTTTTACCTAGCCATATAAATTTATTAATCATTTTATTTAATTCATCAAAAAAAAATCCCCAATTTTATTGGAGCTATTTGAAAGAAGTATAACAATTTTGGTAAAACATTCATTTTAATCATCGAAATCCTTCCTAGCAATGATAATTATAATTTCCCCCAAATCTCTAAATCTTTTTGTACCTGTAGTATCAATTTTTTAGAATTATCTTCTTTTATTGAGGAACATCTTGTGGTGAGCCAAATTCCTAAATATTTAATCTTTTTTGAAATTTGCAACCCCAAATTTTCTTCCAGTCCCCCTTTTTGTTTTTCAATTAAATTTTTAACTAGTATTTAGTCTTTTTTTGGTTTATTTTTAGTCCCGCCACCATTCCATATTTTTCTATTTCATTCAATAAAATATTACCTCTTTCTAATGGTTCCTCTATAAAGAACACCAAATCATCTGTGAATGCCTGTATCTTGTATCCTTCTGTTTTAATCCTTAATCCTTTTATCTCTTTGTTGTTTCTGATTTGAGTTAGTAGCATTTCTAACGTTAGAATAAAAAGTAGAGGTGACATTGGACATCCCTGTCTTACTCCTTTGCTAATTTCAATCTTCTCTGTGTTTTCCCCATTAATTATTACTCTGACCTTTTGTATTCTGTATATTGACTTTATCATTTGTTCAAACCTCTCACCGATTTTCATATTTTCTTACTGTTGGAACATAAATTGCCATTTAAGGTTGTCGAATGCCTTCTGAGCATCTAAAAATACTAATGCAGCATGTTTTCCAAAACATTTAGTACAATTCTTGTATTGTTCCTAATTTGTCTATTGGGTAGAAAACCATTTTGATCCGAATATATTATTTGATTTAATATTATTTTTAGTCGTTCCGCCATTATTGTAGTAAAGGTTTTGTAGTCCGAATTCAACAGTGAGATTGATCTATATTTTTTTATTTGTTTAGGATCCATATCTTCTTTTGGAATAAGAGTTATGTTGGCTTCTGTCCATGAGTCTGGTAATTTAGCTTTCTCCAATACATCATTATATATCTCTAATAGTATCATTTCCAAATCTTCATATAAAGTCTTATACACTTCCCCAGGTAGATCATCTGGCCCTGGAGCTTTATTATTTTTTTGCTTTTGTACTGCCATTCTTAGTTCTATTGCTGTTATTTTTTTATTCAATAGTTCTCTTTGTCCTTCTTTTAATTCCAGAAGACCATTGGCCTTTAAATATTGCTTTATATTCTCCGCCTCTGTTTCCTCTTTTTTATATAGAGATTCAAAGTATTTCTGAATTATTTTTTTCTTTTCCTCTATTTTATATTGCACCTCTCCATTTTTGTCCTGTAGTTCCTGAATAAATCTTTTTTCCTTTTCTTTTTTTAATTTATAGGCAAGCCACCTCCCAGGTTTGTTTGCATGTTCGAAAAAAAATTGTTTAGTTATTTTCAGTTCTCTTGCCAATTCCTCTTGTTCTACTATATTTAATTTATGTTTGGCCAGAGTCATTTCCTCTTTAATCATTTCATCTTGTGGCTCCCACTGTAATTTGGATTCTAATTTTTTAATCTTTTCTAGAAGTATATTTTGTGTCTGCCTTTTCACCTTATTTTTTCTAGCTATATATGCTATTGCTATACCCCTGAGATATGCTTTGGCGGGGTGCCATATAATTTGTACTGATGTTTGTTGTTTAGTATTCTCTTTAAAAAATAATTCCATCTCTTTTTTAATCCTTGCAATAAATTCTCTTTCTTTTAAAATTTGGGTATCAAGTGTCCACTTTCTCTTTATTTTTTTCTGACCTGTCCACACTATTTTCAGGGGGTTATGATCTGCCCATATGTTTGCCATTATTTCTATTGTCTCCACTTCTTGCCCTATTTCCCCGCTCATCCATGCCATGTCCAACCTAGACCACGATTTGTGTGGATTTGAAAAAAAGGTATATTCCTTTTTCATAGGGTTCTGTTTCCTCCCTGGGTCAAATAAATTGAATTTCTGCGCCATCTCAAAAAATGTTTTTGGTAGTGTTTTTCGCTTTTTATTTTTCATATTGCTAATATAGTCCATTTTTACATCCACTATTGCGTTATAATATCCTGTTATACAAATATTTCTTTGTCCAATTTCAATAAGTTTTTCATGCAGATCTTTATAAAATTCTTTTTGGTTTTCATTTGGAGCATAGATTGTCACGAACAACCATGATTTCTGTTTCATTTGTAATTCTAATATTAATAGCCTTCCCTCTGTATCTTGATATTTTAAATTGGCTCTAATTCCTTTTCTGATATAGACTGCTATTCCTCTCTGTTTTTGTTCCATTAGTGATGTATATAATTCTCCTAGTTTTGGAAATTCCAAATAATTTCTGTGTAGTTTCTTTATATGTACTTCTTGTAAACATACTATGTCTACGCCTTGTTTAACTAATTTAGTTAATATTTGTTTTCTTTTAACTGGTGCATTTAGGCCATTAACGTTGATTGATACTAATCTAATCTTCCCATCCATTATTTTACTTCTGGGTTTGTCTTGCTCTCAAACCTATTCCTCTTTCTTTCCTTTGTCTTCTTACCTCCTTACTTTCTCTCTCCTTCTCTCTTTCTTTTAACTCTAGTTGCTGATCTTCTTGACTTTTGGATTCTAATTCTAATTCTTCCCTACTGCTATTCTCTTCTTCTTCCCCTTCTAATTGTTCATAAAATTCTCTTGCCTTATCCAAGCTATCAATTTTAATCCTTCTCTCCTGCCATGTTATCAGCATCCCCTCAGGGATTAACATCTAAATGGGATGTTTTTTTTTAATAAGATGTGCACTAAGAAATCTGTAGTCTCTTCTCTGTTCCCTCACTTTCCTTGGAATTTGTTTTAGTATTTGGATTTCTATGCCTTTGTAAATTATTGGATCTTCCCTTGTAATCTTGTATATTAGGTCTCTAATTTTTTTTTCTGGCAAATCTTATGTGTATCTCACGTGGTAGTTTATTCCTTCGAGCATAATTTGTGTGAATTCGGTACACCTCATCTATTTCTGGCAATATTGCTTGTTTATCTCGTTGTAGAGCCTCTGCTATCAGCTCTACCATAATCGTGCCCAAATCCTCTTCCTTATCCTCCACCATGTTTTGAAACTTTAAATAA